AACAGCTTCAACATCTCAATGTATCGGTACAGGATTTAGTGAAGGCCCATTTCCAGAAGAAGCAAATTTTGTTATTCATGAAACTACAAAAGGAGCTTTCATTTATATTGAACGTGAGTTAGCAGAGATGTTAATCTTACATGATCTTTGGTCAAATGATATTTTTGATAAGATTCAAATGAACAATGGCAGTGTTCAAAATCTAACCCAATTTCTAGAAGAAATAAAAAAGGTGTACAAGACAGCATTTGAATATTTATATAATGTAATAATTGATTATGCATCTGATCGTGAAATATATATCGACCAATCACAAAGTCTAAACATTTATGTTATTTCTAATGATCTTGAAATAATGATTCAATATCTTTTCAATTCACTAGTCAGAGCATGGAAAAATGGATTGAAAACTGTTTATTATATTAGATCCATGTCACTTTCTCGCCCTCTAGATATAAATTTCAATAAACCCAAATGTACTGCTACTATATATAAATCATGTGCTGTATAATCTTGGTTTTTATTGCATATATTAAAATAGAATAGATTTTCAAATATTCCTGCATTCGAATAAAATTCTTTAAAAATGTAACACACATGATAAATTGATATACAAGAGTAATTGTTATTAAAAGTAAACCTTGTAGTACTTTAATAAACTTTAGACGAAAAGTAGTCTAAGACTTGAACAAGCAAATATCTAAACACTCTTGTAAATAAAAGAAACTATCTTAGAAAAAGTATTACTGAGATAGTAAATTCAAGTACTACAATTACTTTATCTATCTTTGACATTAACACATAAACAAAAAAGTTTGATATCTGTCAACTAAAAACACAATCAAATATAATCAAACTATAAAGAGCGAATTAAACCTCAAAATTAAAGTCTATTCTGAAACTATTCATGAATATAAGAAGAACATAATTGGCAATCAATCAGAGTTAAATTATTTATGATTATATATTTGTATGTCTTAAAACAAAATTTTATTTTTTAGTTAAAATTTTTAGAATTAAATCATTTTGATTTTTAATATCATCAAGTTTTTTTTCTAGTTCTTTAATTATATTTTCTAATTTTTCATTATAATTTTTTAAGATTCTATTTTCCATTTCATATTCTAAGCATTTAGTTTTTTCTTGTTCTAATTTAATCTTATTATTTACAAGTATTTTTTCATATTCATGAACTTTTGGAATAAAATCTTGAATCAAACAAATACAAATTTTATCTTTATCACTAGTATAATTTTCTAATTCATTGATTGCATAATTAGTTAATTTTACATTAGAAACAAAAAATGCAATATGGTAATTTGGTTTTCTTTTTGTGGTATTCAAAAATTCTCTGATTTCTGATACATAGATTTCATAATTTCTACTTTTGTATTTACATTGTGTGAACTAATTTAATTCTCGATATTGACCTAATTAAAAAAAAAATGTTAGTATATCATTTCCCTAAAACCTCAAGAATAATATTATAGGCAATTCAAACAAGTTGAGCCTCATGGAATTTACACTATGAATAGACACTGCCAGTCTGTTTGCTCACTCAACTATAATAACTATATTTCTATATTCAGTTTATATTTATTAAAATTTACAGGCGATTTAAACAAGTTGAGCCTCACGGAATTTACACTATGAATAGACACTGCCAGTCTGTTTGCTCACTTAACTATAATAACTATATTTCTATATTCAGTTTATATTTATTAAAATTTACAGGCGATTCAAATAAGTTGAGCCTCACAGAATTTACACTATGAATAGACACCGCCAGTCTGTTTGCTTACTCAACTGTAAAAGTGGAATAATACTAAGTAAACGATTGCTTATCATGAAGATCTGTACATCCATCAGATAATTTTTTATAAATTTCTTTAGAAAGAGAAATGAAAGTTTGGTTCATTTCAATGATCATTCCATTATGACTTGCTAGTTTATAAAGAAAATATTCAAAAACTTTGCCTTTGAGTCTTTTTTTATAATCATTTTTTGCAGGTTTATCAAAATCTTTAAAATTAATATTTAATAAATTATGAACAAAATTTTCGAATGTTTTATTGATTCCAGGATATACAAATGACATTTTGATAGAAAAAATCTAAAAAGTTA